CAGTTGAGCATTTGAGTCTGTGAACCACAAAGTTACAGATTCATCAGAGAGAAGTCGCTCGCTCTTTGCACACCGCTGATATAAAGACAACTCGGCTCATTTCTGCTCTGTTTCAGTAAAATCCGTATTACTGACGAGCAATAAGAGGCCCTGCCTCTAAACACTCAGCGTGAGGACCGAGTTGAGCCAAAGCAATAGTAGCTTTAAAATGCTTGTGCAAAGAACCATTACTCTATCTGGTAATGTTCCTCCCTCCTTTTAGGGATAAGGAGCAAGACAATTTTTTGAGGGGGGGCTAAGTTTATACAATTTGCAATAAGGTGTGTGCCACGGGCTTTCAAATTCATATTTATGCGACTAGTTTAAATATTCTCCTCCTGAAACTCTTACAAACGCCATGAAACCAGCTGCAACAATACAACAGTCAGTCAAACTGACGCTGAGTACATCCAGCAGCTTTTTAATCTCAGACATGGCTGTGTGCTGCTGTAGATGTTAGTGAATCTGGCCCTAAATCTTCCTTTAAGAATTCAAGTTAGAATCAAATGCCTGACATCACACTACAATCTGACACCACAGCTTTTGGCCATCACAGAAAAAGGAAACACGAGTTCTGTCCATCGTCTGTAACTCTGAAATCTGAATAGCTGCTGCTCTCACTCTGAACCATGAGACAAGCAAGAGCATCTCTACCTCTCAGGTCGGACTCTTTCTCTTCTCTCTGATGATGATTTGTCCATGACGGACGTCCTCAGTTCTTCCTGCAGATCCACCACCGTCTACACAACAAAGCACATACAGAGGACGTCAGTGCAGCAGGCACAGTCCTACTGATACTGCTGCTGTTGTTTTAATTATAACACAAAAATCAGTCACATTATTCAATCTGGCCTAATCAGAGTTCATGAACAGCACGCTGTTCAGGTGTCAGTCCTCTTATTGGAGCACACCGGCTGATGCTTGAGTAAAAGGGAATTTTCCTTTCTTTAGTTTAATATTAGAAAATGTTTGTTACCTCAGTAGTAGCATCACACACCATCTTATACTTACTGGTTATCTATTAGTCAGTAAAAATGTTTGTTGTATGTTAAGTTTAAGACTAGGATTATTATTTTCTTTTTTAGACATTAAAAAAAACTTCAATGTCAGTCGGCCTTCATCCTGTCAAGCTGACAAATAACTTAGAGTTGAGTCGATTTTTTCCTCTGAACTCAGCAGTCCTGCAGGCCTGAAGCAGGATTTGCTCTTACCTCAGAGTTAACTACAAAAGGTCATTCACTGCTTACCAGCATATATTCAAATCATTTGTCGTTTGATTAGGAAACCGCTGTTGTTATTTGAAGTAAAGGCATTCTTTAAGGCTTTGTAAAGTAAGACCCTAAAATAGTATTATCAACACGGTAACTTGTGCTGTGAACTGTTCTAGAATCAGTTACGTTCTAGATTATAGATCAACAGGGATTGAAATCCTCCTGACCGATCAGTTCTCCAAAAGTTAGCGCCACTATTCCTGGAAGATCCCTTGGGCCACTTTGTAGACCACTGGGTATAAACCTCTCACATCTCCGTGTTTTTTTTCATAGTTTAATTCTCTTTTTGATGGCTGCAAACAAACTTCCTCCTGCCCCGAAACAATCTACCTTACAAAACTCATATACCGTATTTTTCAGACTTTAAGGTTAAAGCATTTGAAAACCTTTCATTTTCTCAAAAATCGACAGTGCACCTTATAATCCGGTGCGTCTTATGTACGAGTTCTCGTTGTGCTTACTGATGTCGAATCAATTTCATGGTAAGCTAAGAAGCCGCACTGCTTGATGTATT